CCCAATACTACAAATGAATACAATAAACTCCCGAACAAGGCATACAATCAAGAGATGTGGTCGAGAATACAGATTGCAGCGAAAAAATATTGGCTCTCAAGCGAGAGAATAAGAAATGGGTGATGTCATACATGATGTCATACATGATATCATCTTACTTAAATAGGCTAATTTCTCCTTTTTATATTTATTTGAAGTTATTATGCTCATAAAAGTTCATGTTAATTGGTAGTCAAAAAAGAAGAGATATAATTGTCCCGCCTGATGTCATACATGATATCATTTATATATTTACCAATTTTTAATGATTTATAAAGGTGACATTCACATTTTCAAAGTTTGAATTCATTAAGTAAAATAATTTCATTTTACCAACCACCCCAAGCATCTAATTTTTAACTCACTAAATTATTAACTCACTAATTAATCTATTAATTCTTATCATACCTCTTCTTCTGAAATGGCGACTCTCCAGATCATTGGTGTTCTTCTCATTGTTGTTCTTTTTGCAGGTATAACTACATGTATCATGTTTTTTTTTTTTTTTTAATAGAATGGAAAATATATTTATTTACTACTATTATTATTATTATATAAATTGTTTAGGATATTTTGAGTTGTTGAATTAATTAGCTATTTTTTTATTTTTTTTACATTGGATCAGATGGGATGTGATGACAGATACGTAAGCAAGGGCCGAGCCTTGTGTAAGTCCATCTGGGCTTTAGCCCGCGTAGGATATTTGGAAGCATGCATGTGTGTGTGTATATATATATATATATACAAATATATATATAACTAAAATTATGTATATAATTAAAATTTTGAAATTGTAAAATCTTATAATGTTAGTCTAATTAATTAAAGTATATAGGATAATCACATCAAATAAAATTATTGGACAATTTTAAATTTAAATAACCATCTCATAGATATCAAGTTATTAAGAGGTTTTATCTTGACAAAATTAAATAGCTTCTTGAAATTTGAGAAATAATTGTTCAACAACTTAAATTAGTTCCCAATAATTGTTCTTTTTTGCTGTTTTTAATTTTTATTTTCTTGTCATAATGAAGTGTCATTGACTTTTTTAAGTCTAGTCCTAAATTTAAATTAAAATGTATATTTCAAAAAACAAAAAAATGTTGCAAAAGCATATAAAAATAAAATTTTTTATCATAATTTTTTATCTAATATTTGCTATAATTTTATCCCATGTAATATTTAAATCCTGGATCCGCTCCTGGAGCTAGATATGGACGAAGGTACATGAGCTTATTTTTTCTTTAAAAGTCAATATATATATGTATATATATAAAGAAAATTGTATAAAATATGTATAGAAATGCAAAAAAATATTTACAATATATAAATAATTAAAATTTATTTTCTATTATATTTTAATTTAAATTAATAATAAAATTTTACATTATATTATACATTTCTAAACAAGTTTTTAAAAATACTTATAATTATTTACTCTTTCGGTCTCTTAATTGTAAATCGATTTTGTGATTTATAAAACCAAGTATAAATTTAGTTGGATTGTTACATTTTTATGTTGATGTTTTACCTTTTTTTATCACATATATATTTTTTTTTTTACTTTATTTTGTTTATTTTTCTTAAAAAATGTTCATTTGATAAGCTCTCACCAACAAAAATATTATGCAATGTGCTGTGAAATTTCAATTCAATATTTTTTTTTATTTCTTAAAAAAATGTTATTTTAAAGGGTTCGATTAATTAGCTATTTTTAAAGAAATTTGCTTGATGATATAAATATATCGATTATAAATTATATATCTAAAACAAAAATCGCAAATAACTTTCATGTAACATTTAGTGTGGATGTATTAACTATATAATATATCATATAACATTTTAATGTTTTCTCTACTTTCGTTTGGAGCCAAGTATTCAACATTTTTCCGGACAAGGAAAAAAAAAATTAGTAATTTACTAATGATGCATTAACATGCAATTTATTATTATTATTATTATTATTATTATTATTATTATTATTATTATTATTATTATTATTATTATTATTATTATTATTTCTAACAGTGGCTTATCCAAGTTATAATTTTATACTTGATTGCCCAAGAATTTTGTCCTGCCTAAGAATTTTGCTCCGATTGCAACATGTTTGGGAACATGATGAAAATGTCAAATGCGTGAAATGCGTTAACACAAAACGTATGGGGTTTCGTAGAAGATTAACCTTAAATTAGATATGAGGCCCTTCCTCTAGCGCCAAACTATTGTTATTAGAAATTTAACAACCACAATTCAACGTAATTAGAGCGAAGAAAATCAAGGTTTCGTATTTTTTGTTATGTTTTTCTTTTTTGAATACAAGATGTCGGTATAAATTATAACCGAGATGCTACATTTTAATATCGTAAGTTCGATCCCTTCTATTATAGTAAATTATGCTATTTATAGCTGCGAGCGCATTGACTTCTTGTACGAGGCAGATAGGATCGTATTAAATGTGGTTATCCTTGTAACACCCCGCTTTCTTACTATTATCTGAGTAAATTTTTTGCAAAATCTTTTCTACAAATACTTATAAATTTGCGAAATCAAAATTCGGGATGCGGCTGAAAAATTATCTATTCTGAAATCCGTTTTCTTTAAACTGGGTCTAACTACTAGGTTAGACATAAAGAAAACAGAGTATCAAACAAGCATGCAATACTGGACCCAAGTCATACTAGGGGACCGGGTAAAATCTGATAATCTGATAATACTAGCATGCAAGTTCAAAAACTAAAAACTGAAAGCAAGAGGAAGTAAATACTGCGGCGTAATAAAATATTCAGACTGAAGTATATAAAATCCCACAAGAATGGCAAACTGGGCCAAGTCCACGACCACAACCACCACAGCTGATCTCACGCCTGCCTGCCTGCCCTGTTATTTGAAAAAGATAATAATGGGGTGTGAGCACTAAATCACCATGCTCAATGGGAACCCATACTAAAGTAAACAACAGCAATAATAACAATATCATGATCGACAATATATATATTCTGAAACTATTACTGTATCTGAAATTGAAAATGAAACTGTATTGTAAACTCCCGACTATCTGAGATGGTAACCATGTGCACACTCTAGTGGAGTATTAAGGCTATCTGAGCCACCACCAGAACTTAGGATGGACTTACGATATATATCTGACCACCACCCTAAGCAGATATTGTATATACATACCTCAAACATGATATCTGTAATTATACTCAATGTAATACCCAGGCTGGGTCCCCACTTGTACTGCTCGAAATGAAATGTTAGTGCTGACTAGAACATTTGTCCGCTCAAATGGGAAAAATATATAAATAAAGAAATACTAAGTACTATGCTCAGATGTACTCAAATAAATGCTATGATGCTCGGTTCTAACTGTTAACTTATCCAGACTAAATGGAACGTTCTAAGGGTTTGACATTATCTATATTAAGTCTGGAAATAAATGATATGGCTAAACTGGACTGACTCGGCTCGAAAAAATATTTAAATTTTGAAATAAAACTCAGTCCGAAACATGAAAACTAAAAACTACTCGAACCACCAGTCAAATCGGCCGGTCCGCTGGCTGACCGGACCGCCAGCTTGCTGTGGCCAGGCGGTCGGCTACTGACTCAAGCTGGTTGGGCTCGATTGTGCAGGGTCTGCCCTGGCAAGGTTGCTGGCGCGTCTGGTGCCTACCGGGTGCTGTCAGACACCACTGACTGCAACTATGCACACTAGCATGCTTCTGGGCATGCATGCGTGCTACTGGACTCATTGGCATGCTATTGGGCACAACCAGGGTTGACTGGCATACTGGCGTGCTGCTGGGCACGACTAGTGACAACTGGACATACTAAGCTAACTATTGAACTCAACAATATTAACCTTTCAGCGTGCCCAAGTTGCTGGGCTCGACATTGCGTGCGCCGAGGCTGACTAAGCGCTGCCTGTATTCGCTGGGTGCGACTGGCGCCGGGCTACGCACGCGGACTAACTTGGCGCTGTCATAATGCACTATGCCCATGCGCGTCGTGCGGCTGGTCTCCCGTGAAGTATGGGATACTTAACCTCTGTATACCTAAGTCGGCGCTGCGCGCGCTATATGCGCGACCAACAACTACGACCGGACTGTTGGAGTAGTATACCCGGCGTTCCAATCAGATTGGACGTATTCTACTTGTAAATACAATCTATTGAAATTATATTAAATAATAAGACATTACTTTTTTTTAAGAGTAAGCATTTATATTTGCACTTAAGATAAAATCCCTAGATCACTTATA